GAGAAAAAGGAAAGTAGTTTATTTGCAGCCTTGGGAAAGCAACCCTCCACAGTCACCCTAGGATGAACCCCAAACTCCGAAGTTAAGCAAGAGAAACCAGCAACAGGCAGGGTACATAGTGTACTACCTTCATGAAACCAGATAATCAACAAGGAGGCCAGAGAGCAGCCCCCAGCCCGTTTGTGAAAAGTGCATGCTGGTCTTGGGGGGCAGGGGCACAGACACAGGCCACAGGCCACAGGCCACGATGGGTGGAGGGGGGCAACAACACTGATTTTTATATTTTTATTATATTTTTCTCTCTTCTCTCTCTCTCTCTCTCTCTCTCTCTCTCTCTCTCTCTCTCTCTCTCTCTCTTCACTCCCCTCCCTCTCCCCTCCTCTTTTTCTTTAGGTCAGAGAATGAAAAAGTATAGAGTTGGTTATCTCCTTCCACTTTGTGGGTCTCAGGAAGTAAATGCAAGTTGTCAAGCTTGGTGGCAATTGTCTTTACCCACTGAGCAATTTCACCAGCCCTACCTGATGTTTTAAGATATTAAGTTAAAAGCCAGTCGTGATAGGGCATGCCTATAATTCCAACACTCGGGAGACAAAGGCAAGAAAATCAGGAGTTCAAGGCCAGTCTCAGTTACATAGCAAGTTGGAGGTCAGCCTAGGTTACTTGAGGCCTTATCTAAAAATGGGTTTACAGGTTTGGTGAAAGTGAGGGCTGACATGTGTGCATTACATCCTCTAACCTTGTATGTGTAGCACAGAAAAATGTTACTAGAAACCTCGTTTTGAAAAAAGCAATGCAAATTTGTTTTCTTGACAGACACAGGTTAAGTTCCCTTCCATTTAATTCTGAGGTCATGTCAATGCTGGTGTTGTAGTTGTTGGTAGTCGTGCTGGTTGGCACTGAGTGGGCAGCTTCCGGAGAAAACCTGGCTAGCCACATCAATGACTAATCAGATTGTAGGGGTAACTCTAACTGTCCCCCCAAATCCTTCCAGGTGCCTAGAACACCAGTCATCCCCTTGGCCGGGCCTGCTGGGCCCACTATGATCATGTCACACCTGCAAACAGCCCACCCACAGGAGGAAGGGCGGCACCCTTAGTGTGGCTGTGAAGGCAGAATTGGAGGCCCCAAGGGAAGTTGACCAGCAAACACCAGGTTCCATGGCTGCTCTTTCACTCCACATATCAGGCTATAGGCAACAGAGTATTCAGAATGTTCTAGAACATGAGTACATTGTCCAGAACCAATCTACCCTCTTTTAAACTGCCCTCAACACCAAAGGACGATAGAAAGAGTAAAAAAAAAAAAAAAAATACAAAGGAAACAGTGTCCACACTTAAGGGAGGTTCTCCAGTTTCTGCCCCTGTGGTTCAGGCACCTGCTGCCCAGGCCAGCTGCACTTCTGGCTTCCCAGACTCAAAGGAAGTGAAATTAGAGCAGATTGCTGAGGAGAGCAGCTCCACAACAAGGGTGAGCCTCCAGCCCCAACCTCACAGTCATACAGAAACCAGGGGCCGCCCTACACACTGGCCCCTTAAAGGGAAAGTGGCTTTTGGAGGGGCTCCCCCACCGATGGGCAGGCAGCACCCAGGCTCTCAGGATGCCGGCCTCTTGAGGGTCACTGCATGGTGTGCTGGGTTGTATAGAGCCTGGCCTCTCCCCTGGGGAGCCCAGGTTTCCTGTTCTGTAGAGGGGCTGAGAGACTCAGTCTTGTTGTAGCATAGTGGAGGTGGATAGGACCTTGTCCTGGAAGCGAGGGTCACAGACACGTCCAGACTCTCCAGTCTGGGTTCAGCCTGGTTGGAGACTCCCAGCCCTCTTACAGCAGCTGGGCAGCCTCCTGTGATGTGATGGTGATAGCGGTGCTGACAGTTGTGTCTCACCAGAGGCTGAGTGGGTTCTACGAGGTCACAGGCAGGCCTAGCATATCCAGGTGCTCAGCAGATGTACTTCCTGTGTGGTTTGGTAGATTTATTTATGGTTTCTGAAACACCTTAAGAAGCGGCTGTGGAGTTTACCAGACAGCAAAGGTGTAAGCAAACCCCTAAAAGATGAGGACCCAAATTCTAACACAGTCCTCACCTGGGATTAATTCCAGACTACACTTAAACTTAGAGACCAAAAAAAAAAAAAAAAAAAAAAAAAACAGGGCTTGTCCTCTCCGATGTACATCTGATAATCACGGTCCCTGTCCCGGATTTCCACGCGTCACCTGCTCTGTGGTTCTGAGTTTGCTCAGCCACACCCTGTGCTGGGCAGGGCTGGTGGCCAGCACAGGCCAGGCTCACCTGGCACCCAGGTGAATGGTTCCTGCTATGCACCCTAACTAGACACACCTCAATTGAGACCTTGAAGCAGAGGTTGATGGCCTGTTACTCAGTTCACATGGAGCTGCACATGTCACCGTCCTAATCTGGGGTGGCTGGGACTTACAGCCCTCTTTCCAGGATTTATTGACTGGAGACATCAATCTGCTGACCCTGTCCTTTCTGTGTAAAGTGAGTTGCTATGAGTCTTGAATAGCCCCATGTTTTCATCCATCTGTCTGTCCACCCATCCATCTGATATCTATATCTATATCTATATCTATATCTATCTATCATCTGTCTGTCTATCTACCCACCCAGCAGTCATGGGTACTCATAAACTAGGAGAGTAAGCAGGGTGTCTCCTTACCCCCATCTCCACAGCCTCTGTACCCCTACTCCCAGCTCTCTGGCCAAACTGCAGATTCCTAAAGACCTGGAAGAAAGCCTGCCTGCATCCCAACCTGGGATCACTCAGCCACATTATCTGGGGCTTTGATGGTCAGCTGTCTCCCGAAGTGCAGAAGTGAAGCCATCTTGACATCTTGCTACCCTGGCATGGGAAGTGTGTGAGGGTGTGGGACGGAGCCCCCAAGTCCTGGCATGAAGCTAGGTGCAGACTACAGACAGCCATGGTTTCTGCAGGGAACCACGCCCCTCTCCAGCCCTCTGCAGCCACTTCCTTCCCCACTCCTTATCTATTGGACCACCCAGCTCAGAAAGCCACAGTCAACGACTACTTCCCCACAAACATCAACTGCCCTCCTCGGGGCATAGTGAACGGATGATCACCCCCAGGTGCTGGGGCAGCCCCCCACTTGCGGGCAACTTTCTTCTCTTTCAAACCCCACCTCTGTCAGACCCGCTGATTGGAAAAGCATGAGGACAGGGCAATAAGCAATTCAGAGCCTCCTCTTGAAAGCGGAAGTGTCCCATCTGCGGGCCCCACAGGTGCAAGCCAGGAACATCTGCCTTAGAGCTGAGGTGGAGCCACCCGCTCCCACCAGCCGCACCCAGGGTCCAGCCCTGCTGCCTCTTGGGTGTGGGGCTGTCTACCCAAGCCCCTCACTGCCCCTAATCCAAAACCTTCCTTGGCTCACTGATTTTGATATACTGGGGACAGCTGTCTCAAGTGTACTGGTGCTGTGGGCCATGGGCATACACACCTCTCTGCCTCTGCCTCCTAAAAAGTCCAGGAGCCTCGCCCAGCAGGACTGTTGGCACTGCAAATAAATAGACAAAATCCAATACCCTCTGGTTGATCCCATACTCTACCCTCATCAGAATACAGCAAGCATGGTGACATTGGTAGACAGTCCTCGCTCACAGCAAGGTCCTCTCTCCCCAAACCCTGAAAAGAGCAGTCAGCCAGCATGGCAGAGAGGGCAAGCAGATCCCATGTTCCAGAAGGCTCCAACTCAAGGCCTAAACATGTAGCTTGTCTACCTTTAACTTCAAGACACCCAGATGCCAAGGCAGTAACATCCAGGGAAATCGTGATGACATGGGGTTTTTAGTAGCCAACTATATACAGGAACAACTTAAACATTAAATCAAGGCAAAGCGTAGATAACGTAGTGGCATCCTAAGACCATGTCTGAGAACCTCCACCTGACAGTTGTCATCACCCTTTAGTAAGTGACTTTCTCTGGAACCTAAACTTATGATGGCATTATTTCTGCTAGGAGTCAACTGGGGAAGGGCTTGAGTTACTTCCAAGTAAACAGGCTTCCCAGCAAGTTCTGGGCTGCCAGGCAGAAGGGCCCACTGCCTACATGTGGTTTGTTTGGCTCAAGTTCCCCATGGGGAAGCTGGTATAGGAATGTTTTTTCACCAGCTGGGGGACTGTGCCCCTAATCCTGCTCAAGGCCAGGCAAAGGATGACAATGGAGATTCTTGGAGGGCACAGATGACCAGAAAACCCCTGAAGGTACAAAGAGCACGCTTGAGCCCTGTGTGGGCAGGAGGCTGGTCAGCGGCCTGACTAGGCTCACTCCTGACTCTGCCCCACAGCCTTTCAGTGGGTGGCAAATAGAAGGGGATTCTTGGGCAAAGTCTGGCTGAAGGCAGGCAAAGTGGGTGGAGCCTCTGGACCTCCCAGGCCACAGGAAGGGCTATACCCCATGGGACGACAGGCAGATGAGCCAGGGTCTCTCTCTGGCCAGGATGGACACTACCCCAGGGTGGAGGAAACACACTTCAAGAGCCGCACCACACTGGGTCCAGTGGGAGGTTGCTGGGCTGCAGTCTGGATAGAAGGAAGTTATTGGAAAGTCAAACCGGAATGGCATGGTGGAGGGAGAACCGTAGCCAGGCAGATGGTTCCTGCCGAGGGAGCACTGGGCACAGCTGCAGTCCCCCGACCCCCACCGCATTATCACTGTGACACAGCTGGCTGCCTCACCCCTGAAGGCTGCAGGAGGACCTCCCCCATTCTGTCCCCAAGCCCGCCCCATGTCACATGAGGCCCTGCAACCAACCTCCCACCCTCTGTCCAGGGCTACAACCCAGCTCTGCCCGCACGAGTGACTAGAAAGGCCTGGGGCCTCTGAGGAACAGACACCAAAGCTGTCCCACCCCTCCAGTTCTTTCCAGACGCCAAGAAGTCAGAGAGGGCGCTTCAGGGTGGGTTCTGGAAGCCGGCCATCTCACCCCAGCTCCAGGCACCCATTAGTCTCCTGCTCCATCTGCAGCTCCATGTCCCAGGCATCTACCACACTGGAGAGTGGGGCATTACTCTCAGGACCCCGGGGTCTTCGGCATGGCAGCCCAGGTAAGAGGCTGGGGTCAGGAATGGGAGGACTGGAGAGACAGCAGCTGGGACAGGTGGGGCAGGTGACAGGAAGGCAACATCTCCAAGCTGCCGTTCGTGTGCCCAACTTTGTTGACAACGTGGCTGTGTTGACCTACCTCAAATATCAACACAGTCCCCCCACCAACAGGGAAGCGTCCCTCACAGCTGGGGCAGGTGGCCCCATAGGAGCATGGCAGGTGCCAAGCCTGAGTCCTGGCCCCACCCAGAGGCAGGTGCCTGGCTCTATGTTAGAAGGAATGGGCTGTGTCTTCTACAGTGGGGGCTGAGGCTAGAAGCCAGGGGCTTGAAGATGCTTCCAGGCACAAAGCCTCAATGCAGGTTGGATGAGGTCAGGGCAGGGATAGTGCAGGCCCAGCTACATGAGCATTTACTTCCAGCAGGGCAGTTAGGGAAATGAGGACCTTTCTCACCCTCAGGAGTTTCTGGCTCTAGGAAAGGAACCCAGCAAGCTTCCAGGTTCCTCTACATTCTGACCCCACTCCAAGAACTCCAGGGACTCAGAGATACAAGCAGGTGGCTCCATCCCCTGCTCACAGCCAACCACGTGGTTATACTCCAGGCAACTTTGGAACTTTCCTGAACCCACAGTTCTGAGTCCCACAGTACTCTTTCTGTGGCAGACAAATTCATGTCCAGATGCTGGGCCTATGACACCCTTTTCTGTGGAGGGAAGCTGGTCCACACCTGTAGTTGGCTCCAGGCCCCAACATCCAAATCCCCATGTATCCAGAGACATAGAGGACTCAAATGATAGTGCCCAGGTATACATGGCCCAACTTCCCAAACAGCATGTGTTAGTCTTAGTTTCTGTCAGGTGAGGAGACTCAAATACACCTGTGAAAATGTGCTTGTTCACAGACCCCCCCCCCCCGTGTGAATACCCTGCAGGTGGGTGCAAGGGAGCTGCAGCCTCAGAGGATGTCCTCACATACCCACTGTCCTGAGAGCTGCAGTCAAATCCACCCCTTTTGCTGCCTGCTCTGGGCCAGGTCCTTCCTCCCCAGCTACCCCAGTTTCCCACATGGTTCCTCTGGGATTGGGAAGGAGGCAAGAGATGAGCTGTAGGTTGAAGAAAGACCACTGTGTGATTTGGCTCAAAGCCACAAGGTATATGTGAACTTGGTTGTGCCAGCAATATGGATGTGGTGTTGGTGGGATGGGGGTGCCCAGAGCAGACAGTCTGTGTATGTCTCTGACAGAATACCTATCCTCCAGTTTAATGTCCCCAAGGTCACTTTGTGTATACCACACTCCCTAAAAACAACCTCCACGTAAGGGGACAAATGTGGGGCTCTGCAGTGCCAGAAAGCACCACCAGAGGCAGCATGGAGCTGGGCTCCTTTGGCAGGTATAGATGAGTAAGAAGGTTCTGGGTCCTCTGTAAACTCCCAGGAATCTGTGAAAATCTTGAAGACAGAACATGGGTTAATTGGCTTCGTTCAAATCATTGCAAGAGTAGAGAGATTTGAAACTGAGTGCCAAGACTCTCTCTGCAAAGCCAGTACATACAGAACACCCTAGGCTGTGCTCATGGTTAATGGTAACAGGGGAGGTATCTGCTGTAAGCTGGGACATGGAAGGCTATGGGTGAAGTGTATGGCAAGGACAAGGTGATAGGGTGAGGAATGAGGAGTCAGCATTCCTCACCACGGGACAATCCCACCCCTCGGGATAATGATATGTGGCATCCCAGTCTGTTGCAGACCTCAGAGTGCAGAGGACCAGAAGCAGACCAAGTACAGGGTTTGCAGACTCGTATTTATTAGGTGCCTAGTGTGTGCACCAGGAGCAGCATGAGCACTGCCAGTCTTGAAGGTTTGGATCAGATACTTTCTTCCCAGGAATGGGGCCAGGAGGTGCTGTATATGGAGACCTTGAAATCCACCACAGACACTGTAGCTAGAAGATGCCCCCCCCCAATAGAGGAGGCTCAGGCAGTGAACCCCAGGGAGTAACTAAGTCAGGCTTGCTGGTGTGGCTCTAGGGAAACAACATTGGCCTAATTGAGCAGGAGGTAAGGAGTGTCACTAAGTGGTGGATCCCAAGCAGGGGCAGGCGGGGTAGAGTACAGAGGGACAATGGCAGCAAGGACACCTGGGCCTCTTGGCCCATATTGGAGTTCTGAGCCCAGACCTGACCTGGCTGGATTCTACGACGCATTCCCTCCTCCTTCTTCTATCTCCTCTTCCCCTCCCCCGGCTCTGCTGTCCTCCTCTTCCCTCTGCCCCCTCTTCCTCCTCCTTCCAGACTATCGCTGAGCTTGAATGCCCAGGGGTTCTTTCCTTATGCATAGATTCTACTAACCTTGGGTAGAAGTTATTCAAGAAAAACACATCTGAACTGAATCTCTTGTAATTGTTCTCATAGGTCTGTCTACTTGTGTCAGCTATCACACCATGCAGTAGACAGAGGACATACACAGGTTCTGTGCAAATGTTGGGCCATTTCGTATGAGTGACTTGATACCTGGAAACAGTTCCCTGTGATGACAAGGGGAATGGGGGCTTAGTCACAGGGTCACATCTCCACCAGAACAGCTATCCTGCTAGATTCAGGCGGCCTTCATCTATGGCAGAGCTATGGCATCTGTGCTCTCTGCCTGGGCTGCAATGATCCTAGTCCAGGGGCCAGAGGGTCTGGTAAACATCCCAGCTGTCCCCTTAAGGGAAAAACCAGAACTTTACTTTCATGGCAGATTCCATGGGCACCAGCTGCCAGGGGCACAGAGCACATCCCTAGGGCAGCCACAGTAAAGACCAACATAGAAGCCCGGGGCTATTTCCACTTCACACTTAGCCTCCATGTAGGCTGCTCGGCCTCTGTGCTTGTTAGTGGGAATCCCGCAGGAGGCAGGTTCCTGACAGATAAGAGAGGCTAACATGGGAGCAAAGTTCTGAGATGACATGTCCCAAAAAGAGGGAGTATGGGGCCCCTGGGAATCTGCAGAGAGTTAACAATGACCTTTGGCCCTCATCCGTTGATATGATGGCAACCTTTGACCTAAAAACATCTGTGAGAGTGACTGTGATCTTTCACCCACATCTGCTTGAAATGAGGTGACCTCTGACCAGCATCTGTATAAGGTGAACCTGGTGGCTTCTGACTCAAGTCTGTGTGATGTGGAGATGACCTCTGACCCATGTTGTGCCAAAGCACCTTGATAGTGTCCTTCCTGTTAGGTTTCAGCTCCTGTCCTGTGCTGTGAGCTTGAGTTCCACCCTCACTTTTCAGGCCTGACATGTTCAGAAGCCTGAAGCAATGCATTGCAGCCCACCCAGACTCTACCTCTGCCTCTGTCTCGCTGGCCTCATGGTTTCAGAAGCTTCTATGTGAGGTTGTACCCAGCCTTGAGAGATAGCAGAAAATGATACAGAGGCTCCAAAGAGCAGCCAGCATGCTTTGCTGAGCCTGGGTGCAGCTGCAAGTATATATCTGTGGTGAGGCAGTCCCACAAGATCAGCTCCCGGGTGAAGGGGCCAATTGCAGAGCCAGAAACGCACGAGTTGAAAAGTGAATAAATAAATCATGCGAGACAGCTTGCAAAAGTAAGACAGAGGGAGGAAGGCAGAGCCCCCAGCCTGAGCAGGCAGAGAATAGAGGGATGAGGAGGGTAAGTGGGGGCTCATACCCTGAGTTCAGGACTTCCTCCTTCTGTCACCATGGACAGTGCCCTCATTCACACACATAATGTCCAGGTCTAGGTAAGGTAAAAGGCCTCTGCTCCGATCCCTAGTGTTCTCTCCTCCTGCCCTGAGGAGGAATAGACAGCTCCTTCTGGGACACAGCCCTGTCACTGCCACAACACATACTCTCTCCAACAGAAGGACTAATTGGAAGCTGGGAGGATGATGTATGCAGAGACAGAGTAAAAGGTGAAGTCCAGGACAGCTTCCAGAGAAAGTGTCCCCGAGGGAACAGCTGGAGGCCACTCTTCAGACGAGGGCAACTTTCAGTTCTCAATGCAAGTTGAGCAGAAAGCTTGTTGGGGCTGTGCTAATCTATATAGGCCTCTCTGGTCTCTGTTCCCTGAGGGGATGCCCGTCCCATAGTCCATTTAGAACTGTCCACCTCAGAAGCCAAGGGAGGAGAGAAAGCTCTGAAAGTGCTACACTCACCCCTTGGAGTAGTATGGGCTTGGAGGTGTTGTGAACATGGTGATGGACCCAAGGTCAGATGGAAGCTGGTGAATTCTCCATGAAATTCCCAGGTGCATTCCCAGGTCTCCCCCGCCCAGGATGGCCACTCAGAAGGATAGGAACCCTGTCCAGGACTTGCAGCTCTCTTAACCAAGCAGAACTGCTTGCTGTCCATTGGAAGGGTGATGGATCAGATAGACACAGGCACCCTTAGGGTGCTCCCTAGGCCCATGGCCCTAAATGTTTAACACATTCCTCCCTCCTGTCCTGCTGGGGCCTCTGGCCACCTGGCTGCTTTGCAAACATCCAGGGCCTTTGCACATTCTTTCCAGCTGCATTCTGCTCCTTGCAGCTCCTCCACACCTGGTGAGCCCCACAGTGTTTCCCAAGTTTATACGTGACATGCCGTCTGTCCCCCTCAGTTACATTTGTCTGCATAAGGTTGGGTCTCAGGCTGCCTAGACCAAGAGAAGGGTGTGCTCAGGAGTGCCTAGAACTGAAAGGGAAAGGAATGTCCATGGAGAGGTGCAGCCATGACAAGCTCACAAAGCATAGGTTGGGCAGATATCACTGGGACAAGCAAATGTTACCAGGGTCTACACTACAGGGCAAGGGGGAGAACACGGTTTCTTGGTCATGGATGCAGGGACATACCCTTTCTGCTGTGTCCACTGCTGACCTCCTGCCTGGCAAGATCAGGGCAAGCTACCCCGGATTCTAGGTGAGTAAGGATCCTGGAAACACACTGAACTCCTAGCAAGGAGGTCCCAGCTTCCTCCAAGGCAGAGGGACAGGGTACATCTCCCCAGGAGGACATAATGG